ACACAGCTTAAATCACCCAACATATTTTTTTTAAGCCCCAGAGAATATATTCCATTTAACTTTCCACTCTGTTCATTACTCCCTTTATGTACCTTTACATATGGTGGGAAAGGGGGGGAAAGGGGGGGGGGGCTAAAATGTAGATAAATAAATGGGGTGGAGTCCCATACATTTTAGTTTCTCAGAGCAACAGCAATAACTCATTTAGGAGCTAGCAACTCATTCAGGGTTTATTGGTTTCTTTATATGTGACCTGCCTTTCTGATTCTGTTGTTTCCTGAACCCTTTCTATCTCAGGCATTAACTCATTCAGTAGCTAGCGACTCATTCAGGGTTTATTGGTTTCTTTATATGTGACCTGCCTTTTTAATTCTGTTGTTTCCTGAACCCTTTCTATCTCAGGCATTAACTCATTCAGTAGCTAGCAACTCTTTCAGGGTTTATTCGTTTCTTTATATGTGACCTGCCTTTCTGATTCTGTTGTTTCCTGAACCCTTTCTATCTCAGGCATTAACTCATTCAGTAGCTAGCGACTCATTCAGGGTTTATTGGTTTCTTTATATGTGACCTGCCTTTTTAATTCTGTTGTTTCCTGAACCCTTTCTATCTCAGGCATTAACTCATTCAGTAGCTAGCGACTCATTCAGGGTTTATTGGTTTCTTTATATGTGATCTGCCTTTCTAATTCTGTTGTTTCCTGAACCCTTTCTTTCTCAGTGTTTCCTTAAATAGTGTTGTCACCATATATTACTATCAGTTGGTCTCATTCAACAATGCACAGATTTTACTTTGAGCTTAGGATAAAATGGGTTAAAATATGAAAAATTTAAATTGTAATTTCTTTTAAAAACAGTGATTGCATTTGTTAATTTTAAAATTCATGAGATATGTTTTATTCCTTTTAAAAATACAATGCTGTAACATATAATTTTAAAAGACAAGCCTTCAAATATAAATAAGTTAATTATAAATTCTTGTTTAAAAAAATATCCACTTATAATTATAGATGAGATATTTTCATACTTGTAATAATAAATAAATGTTTAAAATCTGTTTTAAAATGTCAAGCCATAAAAAAGTGAATTATTATATTTTTATTAAAAACACAATGATTTGTCATCTCACTTATAAAATAGGAACAAATTTTATTTCTTTTAGTACCAATAATTAGTCACAGTTCTTCACAGTAAACAGTTCACCCCATAATAGTTCTATACCTGGGCCAGCAACAACAAAAAACACACGAAGTATATATACTTCACTGTCTCATTTTAAAATTAGTAAAACAGGTCAATTCCTGCAAAATCCAACTTCTTCTTCTTCTTCTTCACTTCCTCTTTTGCCGCTGTGGGTGTCGAGGGAGATATAAGGTTCTGTTTCTGGCTCTTCTGGCCGCCTCGACCATAGGCACACCGTGCTGTTGTAGTTTCTCTGATGTTATCCTTCCATCTTGTTCTTGGTTTACCCCGTGCTCTACGTCCTTCTTCTCTTTCCATGTATGCTTTGTATGGTATGGTGTCACAAGGCATTCTCTCTAAGTGGGCAAACCATTTCACTTGCTGTCTTTGTATGTAATCCAGAATTGGTTCTGTGCCGACTTGTTCTCTTATGATCTCATTCCTGATCTTATCTCTTATGGTGACTCCTACAGCCCTTCTCAGACATCTCATTTCCGTGGTTACTAATTTTCTTTTATGGTTTGTTGTGAGTGACCAGCAAAATCCAACAATTCTTTCAAATATGCAGTGTTGTAAAATTTACACATATGCAAATCGCCATAATTTATAATATTATCTAATTTATATTAATTTAATAACATTTATATTCATTTATAATTATTAATTACTATTTTGTATTATATTTACCAAAATTTAAATTAATAAATGTTATCCTAATTATATATGATTTAATTATTTTTTTCTTTCTCAAAAAAGAAGGTAATATCATAATTAGATGTGACAATTATTATGTCATTATTTCTTGTTTACATAAAATGTAATGTTTCACATTTAATTATAAATAACTGACACTTTGATTTGAAATAAAGTACTGTAACCTCAAAATTATTTATTAGAGTTATTCTGATAATATTTTTGTGTATATAAATTCTTTTTCCGTCTTTATCTGAATTAAACACCAAATATGATGTGTCTTCTTCGAATTAGTCCACCAACCCCCACCCTAAACTAGGCTCAAGGACCCATAATGTTGAAAAAAAAAAATTTGTAAATGCTTTGGTTATAATAAGATCCATAAAAAACACCCACATATAATTACAAAAACACCCACATATAACTACAAAAACACCCAGATATAACAACACTTTGCATACAGTATAATATACAAAATACTTGAACAGCAGCAGCTGGAAGACTTGTCCATGCCATAAACCGAGGGTTTCTTAGCAGAAGAAAAATTGGCAACAGGACGAAAATGGCTGTTTACCACTCTACTATGTGCCAGCCCTGATCTATGGGTGTAAGTCAAAAGCAATGACAACAGCTCACAGAATTCAGCTTCAGGACTCAGAAATTAGATTTCTAAGAAAGGTCCTTACAAACCCGAGTGGATCAGTCAGTTAAAAGGTCTGGACATGTATGCAGAAAGGGAGAAAATGGGCAACCATGGGAGGCTAAGAACCAGAGAAACAGACCTCCAGGGTGACCCAGGGTCCGCTGGGAAGATAACATCCGATAGTACCTGACTGACAGAGGACTCAAAAGGAACAAAGCTAGAAAGGAACAAAGCTAGAAAGAAAACTGCTGATAGAGAAGTCTGGCGATCTCTCTGGCAAACCTCTGCACCCCAAGGTAGAAGAAAAGTGACAGAGTATAATATACAAAATGTATAAATAGAAACCACATTATTAGTTAAAAATTACAAGATCAATCACATTTACTTTATGAATATGAGAAAAGACAGAAAAATGTTTTATATATAACATTAAACTACATGAATATAATATTACACAAAGACATATACAGCTACATTCACAAATCATGCTGCCCTCTACACAAATTAACAAAGTTTTAAATCTTATTAAATATGTATTAGCTTTAACTCACTCATTATGTAAAAGCTTTCTGTTTGGAAATTATTTATGGTTTTTTTTTTTTTTTAATTTCATGCTTATTTTTCTAGAAGTTTTTTTTTTTCTTATATCAGTCCATGCTGTGCAGCATTTGTAATCATGCATGGCCACAGCCTTCTGTCATCATTATCATCATCCTACTGTGTTACTATTCCTGGTGGCCAGTAATTTTTCCATACATAGGAAGTATAAACATATCACCAGAGCCATTACAAGCATAACTCAAGCTCTGCTAATATATAGATAGACGGCCACTGAAACACAACACTACAGTGCACATTAGAGGGGAAGAGGAGAATAGCCTGACTAAGACAGACCCGGATACAGAACTAGACTGGCTGGGCAGGCCTTCCGCATGCAACCATGAAGTCCATCACATCTGTCAAAAATGGAGGAAGCTGACTGTCAAAAATGGAGGAAGCTGACTGTCAAAAATGGAGGAAGCTGATAAGACAGTCAACAGCAACTGGTGACCCAATGACACGTAGTGTTATGGGATGATGATGATGATGATGTGCCTATACATGTTCTGATATAAATAAAAAATATCTTTCATTAAAATAAAAATTGTTGTTCCATGTATGGAAGCTTACAGGACCCCCTGATCACATAGAGCTTGCAGTCTTTTTCTCTATTCTAAAGAATCCTGTGTAACTATTTCCATATCATGGACGGAATCCTATCCAGGACCCTGGCCTCTCTGGGCAACCTTCATTGTTGAGTTTCTCTTGGACATCCTTGTTTCCTTAATACATTTTGTTCTCTCGGATCACTAGGTTTAGTGATTCTCTGATTACCTACCATCTTCTTTTTCTCCAAAATTTTGATACAAGCTGTTTTCCAGTTTCTCGTATTTCGTCACATTTCTTGCATTCATCCCATTTCATGTTCATCAACTTCCTTGAGCATTTATTTTTGAATGAATTTAACTTTTGATGCATATCTTTAGTAATGCAACTTCCTGTCTCACAGATACTGTCAATCTTTTCTGATACCACCCCATGTCCTTGATCACCCTAACAAGCTGTAAATGCAGGCAGAAAAGACAGACAAGATAAGTAACTGATTTTATAAAACTTTGGATGTTACTAATGTGATACTTCATCACAAGACAACAAGCAACTAATGTGATACTTCACAAGACAGCAAGCAAAATAGTGCAGTCATATATTACAGCTATCAGGATACAGATGATCGTAAAAACCACACAACAGTTAATAAATGCTGCTGTGGTTTGTGAGAACTTAAGAAGATGTGCAACTAACTTTGGCTACATCTGGAAATAAGTACAAGGCCATTTTTATAAAAGGCAAATTAACAGTAAAACTAAATTCGCAAACATCATAGGGTATATGGCATGTAGAATTCATTTCAAAATGTTATTTATATACGGACACTACAAACAAAACATAAAAAAGATAATGATGCTGATGAAGAGGAAGAAAGAATGAGAAGGAGGAGAAGGAGAAGTTAATACAGTAATATTTTAGTCTTGAGTTATGAACCGCCAACTCAGTCCTAAGGACATTTCCATAAACGCTCAGTCTCAATCTTCAACAGCCAGTTCCAATAAGATAGTACCAGTTGTAGGTTTGTTAATATATACGTCTTGCCCTCCTTCTAAGCTTTGACTGTTGGTCAAATCCCCTGATCAATCCCTGCTGCAACCTTACTTTCAGACCACTGTTCACAAGCTCACAAAGGGCCTTGACCATGTTCAACTCATATACCATACATCAAAACATATACTGTTGCCCATATGGATACTGAGTCTGCTATCTAACTGTATTCAAATATTGTAATGGAGACTCAGCATTCTGGTGCAAGTCTTGTGAGGTTCACAGCAGGAGAAATTACATAGTGAATGAGTTAAAATAACACCACTGTTTTCACATGAGAGCCTCTTGATTTAGACTTTTGTGGGCAGAGGATAATCTTTGTTGTCTGTGCCCTGTAGCATCGGCTGCTGAGTTGACAAAACCACCCCACCAGTTTTCTGTGGGAGATATTCACAATTTTGTTTATAAGCCTCTTTATCAGGCTGAGGGAGATCATAAAAAAATATCTAATCATGCTTTTCTTTATTAACTTTCTGTACTGGCTGTTGGGGGTAATCAAGGTTATTCTGTATTAACCTTCTTTCTGTATTAGGCTGATGAAGATAATCAAGATTATTCTTTTTTAATTCTATACTAATCTTCTGTATAGGACTAGATGCTCCCCTGTGTATCTGAAGGTCATGGTTTCATGTTTTGTATATATATATATATCATATCAGTCATCCCCTTGTGGGATGCCTTTTTTTGTTATTTGAAGCCCCATCCTGGCTGTTGCTGGGGGCGCTAATATAACCTAACGGTTGAACGGGTTTTCGGGACCTCTGGTGATGCTCATCAGCTTGGTGGCACTTTGTGTCACCAGGTGTTTATTGCTTATATACTTACTTACTTACTAAGTTTCATCATCAGACATTACAAAAAGACTGAATATGTGCTTGTAACGAAAACTAACTAAGTTTTACTGAAAACAATACTTGTATCATTTCAAAGTGATACCGATCATAGGGGGAGCCATCATGGAATAATAAAAATACCCCGATGAAGCTCAAATTGAAAACTATCGGTGTGGCTGTCTGTTTGCATTCTATATGTCACTAATACGATGATCACTGAATCTGGTCACCAAAGGATATGACCAGAAAAGATTAAATTTGGAGTCTTGATCAGTTTTTGTCTAAAAATCTCAGAGATCCAACTCCTAAAACTCAACAGACAGGCCAGTGTGAAGGCACACTGCCTTTTCATGACTGTCTTACTTACTACTTACTTCGTCACTCCTCTTCTACCTTGGGGTGTAGAGGTTTGCCAGAGAGAGATCACCAGACTTCTCTATCAGCAGTTTTCTTCCTGGGGCTTTGTTCCATTCCGGTCCTATGTCAGTTAGGGACTGTCAGATGTTGATTTTTTCAGCAGACCGTGGGCCGCCCTGGAGGTTTGGTTCCCTGGCTTTTAGACTGCCATAGTGGCCGATTTTGTCCCATTCTGCATACATATCCAAACTATTGTAATTGTGATTGACCCCTTGGGTTTGTAAGGCCTGGGTATCAAGATCTTGACCTATTGTCAGATTGCAGACTTTGTCCCTTGGTTTATGGCTGACAAGTTGCTAAAATATTTTATCTATTTTTTTTTTGTTTAACCCATTCTGAGTCATTATTTTTGGCAAAGATAATTTTTTTATGTGAAAAGAAGTAATCACTAAATACAAATGGAGCAAAGAATTTTTCTTTTTCTTCTTCTTCATGTTTGGCTCCCAGGTCGACCCAGCCTTGAGTGGGTACCGGGTGCAGTCCCAGGAAGTAGAGGCGGCCGGCGTGATGCTGACCACATCACCCATCTTGTGCCATTGGTCTATAAAAAATATAGGTCTAGCCCTATATGCCCTAAACGCCTAAAGGCGTGGAAAGGGTCCTTTACTTTACTTTACTTTTTTCTTCTTCATGTTCACCGGCTGTGAACTCCGGCAGAAAGTTCTGGTTGTTAGTCTACTTCTGGACTCCTGCTCCAGAAACTGAGCTTTGCACATCCGTTTTATGGGTCTGACTCATCTGCATGCAGACTGTTGGTTCCTTGCCTCTCAGGCAGATACACTCCCAACTTCAAAGGAAGCTCCTGATTAGTGGACTCTTAGACATGCTTTTGGGCAGGCAGTGGGTCTATTCTTGTTTTCCCCACAGAGGGACCCTGGAACCCATATGGGGAAGCAAAGAATTAACTGCTTTCCTTTGACTTGACTGGGTTGAGCAAAGTGATGTCATACCAAGATTATTAGGATTTCGATGACATCACAGTTTTATTAAATGCATTTTTTTAAGCCTAAATAATATCTGTGTTGTTTTTTTAAATAAAACTAATCATACCCACCATGTCTACAAATTATGCAGTTGTAACCAACCACAGCTGTTATAAAGGTGTAGTGGCCACTGCCCAAAGACTTTGTGTCATCAAAAACGTATAAATTTTGGAGAAACAGCTTTCTTGGGGCAATAGGGAAAGTAAGACAGGGGCAGAACCTGGGAATTCTCCACCTCTCAATTAGACTTGCATAAATACAGAGCCAGTAGTGGCACTGGATAGGAATAAAGGAAGGCCAAAAAACGCATAGAGAAGAGAGCTGGAGAATGAAGTTAGAAAGATGGGGAGGACATGGGGAGAGCTCCACGCAATGGCAAAGGATAGAACGACTTGGCCTGAGTTGGTTGAGGGCCTATGCTCCATTGGGGTATGGAAAGGCAGAAAAAGAAGAAGAAGAAGAAGTGGCAATGGCTCAGCCAAAACACAGGAAATGACACGCAAAATGAACCCTCACCAGCAGTATTCCCTTAAAGTACTGATGTACTGTCAGTACTGTACTGACACGCAGATAAAACTAATGTGTCGACTGAAGTCTTTATCAGTGGAAAAAAAGGGGGGGGGGGGGGGGGGAGAAACGGGGATTCTAAGCCAGAAACACAAAAAGAAAAGTCACAAGAGACAGCTTTCCCTCAAGAGATTCTGAGCCACAGCTGCCTCTTTTTATAGTCCACACAGATTGGTGTTTGTAGTTATGTCTATGGCCACAGTCGGCTTTGTGGCTAAGTCGATGCGAACGCTTCGTAATGCCGGGGTACCGGGTTCGATCCCAGCTGCGGGCCATACGCCTTGCGTTGGTTTCGACAGTGGTATCAGGGAGCTGACCGTCCAGAAAGCAATGGCAAACTACTGGACGTAAATTTGCCTAGCGAAACCACACAACAGCCAGGATACGCAACTAACTAACCCATTGTCTCATTCTTCTGTCTCATATGTTTTTAATTACCCTTATGGATTGCTGGGCCCCATGGTGGGATCTTGCTGGGCCCCATGGTGGGATCTTGCTGGGCCCCATGGTGGGATCTTGCTGGGCCCATGGTGGGATCTTGCTGGGCCCCATGGTGGGATCTTGCTGGGCCCCATGGTGGGATCTTGCTGGGCCCCATGGTGGGATCTTGCTGGGCCCCATGGTGGGATCTTGCTGGGCCCCATGGTGGGATCTTGCTGGGCCCCATGGTGGGATCTTGGTGTCACTTACCTTAGTGCGGCAGGAAAAATAGCAGGAGAAGATGAATTCCATTAGCTCAGCCAGCCAAGCCAGGATAATAAAGACGAGTATTGCTGTAACTAGAGCTTTCAACTTCTCCAAATGAGCACAAGTCTTGAATGGTGTGTCTTTATACTCGTACAAGAATGTATCAACAGGATTTCTGAAAACCGCAGCGTAAAATTTGCAGATTCAAACATTTTCAGAGGATAAAAGTTGCATAATTTTCAGGCGACAGAAGCTACAGATAAATTGTGCAGTCCATTGGAGAAAGATTTTACCTTTTAACTCATGAAACAGGAATTTGGGGGAGGGGAGGGGAGGTGGCGGGGATTGAAAAAACAACTGGGTTTAACATCATGTATCTATTGCACCAACCAATGGTATCAAAGGGTGAAATATATTTCAGTGCATTAAAACTAAACTCATCTGTGGTGAATTTATTTACTGGTTTTTACAGCCAGCAAAGATGTCAGTGGAAATGTGTAATTTTCTACGCATTTGTATTCTGACTGACTGACTTTCTACCCCACCAGAACATCACACAAGCGATAAACAACCGATAAACAAAGTGCCACAATGTGGATTAGAGTCGCCGTGGAGAGGTCCCAGAAACCGCGCTCAGACAATTGGCCATATTTATGGCCTGCCTATATTGCGGCCCCTGGCAAAAGCCAGGGGAAAGGGGGGGGGGGGGGGGGCTTCAAATAACAAAAATTTCGTCCTAAAAAAGACGAAACTGGATATACTATTTGTATTCTGTAATATTTGAAAACATTGGTCATTGCCAAACAGCAAACATTATGGAGATTCAAAAATGTTTAATGTAAAACTAAACTATAACTGCTAACAGCTCTAGTTATTGGTATGTTTGCATATGATTGTGAAACGTGGACCTTAACAGCTGAACTCGAAAACAAGATACTAGCACTTGAAATAAGATTTTTACTTAAAAATTCTTGGCAATTCATACAGAGACTACATCACAAATGATGAGGTTCAGAGATTTCCCAATACACTGGCAACTATAACTTTCTTCTAACCACAGTGAACAATTGAAAATACATTGGTATGGACATGTAATAAGATCCAACAGCCTCTCAAAAACAATACTACAGGACTCAGTAGAGGAGAAGAGGCAGACCAAGAAAGTGTACTTTGTCATTTGTTGCTGCTGTTGCATTTATGTTGAGAAAGTCTCCTGAAGCTTCTTAGTCACAGTTCAGTGGATTGATACACAAAAGAGGTGAGTGGGAGTAGACCATGAGACAGACTAAGAATATGGTTAAAGTTAGTTGTGTATCCTTTACAGGAAGCTGCAGAACCAACCCCAGCATTTTTTGGCTGTTTTGGTTTTTCTAGGCGAATTTTACATTCAGTAGTTTGCCATTGAGAGGTCAGCTCTTGCTACCACCGTCAAAACCAACATGAGACAAATAGTCTTCAGCTGGGATCGAACCCGGCATCCCGGCATTTTGAAGCACATTCGCAACGCCTAAGCCACAGATGCCGACTAGAAAAAGGTGAAGAGATAACATTCAAGCAGACTTACAAACATTTGGTGTTACCAACTGGAAAGAGGGCCCTAGCCCTAGTCACAGAGACAAATGGATACAGTTGATATCTGCAGTAACGAACCTCAAGGGTTTGGAAAACTGAAGAAGAAAAAGAAGAAGAACTAGAACAAGAACAAGAAGTGAGCACTAACAACAAGAAGGTGTATTCTATGGTCTGTAATATCTTATAGTCTATAAATATGGTAATTCTTATCATAAAATTCACATATTTCAGTGCTTAATCAAGAGACATATTTCTAATATATCAAACAACAAAGATACCAACCTGCATTTGCAGATATCATCCTCATCTTTGCAATTTTCCGAGACAATGCCGACTGAGAAGATGAAGACAATGAGACTAAGGCCAGTAATGATAGCAAACAGGCCCGCTATAAGCAGGGAAAGCATCGTAAAGATACAGGTAATCACACACTGAAAACAGAAACGTATTGAAAGAGGCCTGTGAGTTATGAGTTATAAACTAGTTATCATCACAGCACTTCAGACACGACCACAGGTTCTCAGATCCCCCCCCCCTTTCAACACACATGCATCAGCATACCATGGTTAATAGTGCCAGTCCTATGCTAGTTAACAAGGCTTCTTGTATATCCGATTGCCTCTCATATGTGAATGTTCCCACAATCCTCAGATTGTCCTATCTCTCTAAGGGGGGCATTACCAATGCCATGCCGGTGTGATCAATAGGCTGGCTATCTGCAACTAAGACAAAACAGGTCACTCTATCAGCTCTTTCACTGAGACCCGTGGAAGCACATCACATACTGAAAGGGATTACTGACATCTCTGTTGATGGTTTATACTGATAGCATATCATTGTAGTGAGGACAGCCAAGGCATAGTAGTGGCTAGCACATTATTATAGTGGGGACAGCCAAGACAGAGTGGTGGCTAGTACATCATTATAGTGGGGACAGCCATAGCAGAGTGGTGGCTAGCACATCATTATAGTGGGGACAGCCATGGCAGAGTGGTGGCTAGCACATCATTATAGTGGGGACAGCCATGGCAGAGTGGTGGCTAGCACATCATTATAGTGGGGACAACCATGGCAGAGTGGTGGCTAGCACATCATCATAGTGGGGACAGCCATGGCATTGTCGTGGCTACGACATCATTATAGTTTGGAGAGAAATGGCATAGTGGCTAGCATATCATTATAGCAGGAACAGCCATGGACGAGTAGTGACTGGATGCTTGTCTGTTGAATGTTGAATGTGGAATTTAGAATTGACATCACAGCACTCAGGACACGCCCATAAGTGCTCAGTCCCCATCTTCAGCAGCAAGCAAAGAGTTCCAATTTTGATGGTACCAGTCACCATCTGATTGTATATCTGTCTCATCCTTCCCCTGATTGTTGAGCGTCAGCCAGATCCCCTGGTAACTCCTTGCAGCGCCATTCTCCTCAGACCGAAATGATCTATCTGCGCCTCCACACTGTTTACTTGTTCCCAATATCAATATCGAGCTTGTCATACATCAATTCACCACCAAGTGGTGCAGAGCCAGCCAGTCTATCTGCCTGCTCATTTCTCATGGATGCTTGCCTGCAAATCTGAAGGTCTTGGATTTGAATCTGCATCAAGTCAGATTTTTTCCTCCAACTAACCTTGGCTCCTAGGTGAACCAAACCTAAAATGAGCACCAGCTAATATCTTGAAAAGTAAAGATGGCGGGTACAATGGCGACAAATCACCCACCAGGTGCTGAGTGGTAGACGAGTCTAACATCATTTGCCCATGTGCCACTGGTGTAGAAAGTATCCTTTACATCATAAGAGCACATTTTTATAGCACATCAGTCTTCTTCTTCGCATTCACTGACTGTAAACTCTGACGAAAAGTTATGGTTGTTCATCCACTACTGAACTTTGATCTTGTTTAAGAATGTGAGTTTTTCCCACAAATGTGTGTTACAGATCTGGTTTATTTGTATGCAGACTGTTGGTTCCTCTTCCTGTGTGAGTCCCTGGGCCCCACTTTGTGGGAGAAAAAGAACAAAGCCACTGAGGGCTCCTTTCATAGCACATAAATTATCACAGTGGATTACTTACATAGTGGTAAGGATTCATAGTGATAGTTTACTAGTACTTTAATGGATGACTGACATGTGTGTGAGGATTCATAGTGATAGTTTACCAGTACTTTAATGGATTACTGATATGTTTGTGAGGTTTCATACTGGTAGTGCATCAGTACTTTAATGGATTACTGACATGTTTGTGAGGTTTCATACTGGTAGTACATCAGTACTTTAATGGATTACTGATATGTTTGTGAGGTTTCATACTGGTAGTACATCAGTACTTTAATGGATTACTGACATGTTTGTGAGGGTTCATACTGGTAGTACATCAGTACTTTAATGGATTACTGACATGTTTGTGAGGATTCATAGTAATAGTTTACCAGTACTTTAATGGATTACTGACATGTTTGTGAGGGTTCATACTGGTAGTACATCAGTACTTTAATGGATTACTGACATGTTTGTGAGAGTTCATACTGGTAGTACCTAAGTAATTTAATGGATTACTGACATGTTTGTGAGGGTTCATACTGGTAGTACATCAGTACTTTAATGGATTACTGATATGTTTGTGAGGGTTTATACTGGTAGTACATCAGTACTTTAATGGATTACTGATATGTTTGTGAGGGTTCTTACTGGTACCTAAGTACTTTAATGGATTACTGACATGTTTGTGAGGGTTCATACTGGTAGTACATCACTGAGCAGCAGAAAATGCGTGATAATGTATTGATCAGAACCAAACGTTATGACGTTTCTCGGGGTGAGGTTCGATCGCAGCTTGTCATTCAGGGAACACGTTGACCATGCGATAACAAAAGCACGCAAAGGTCTATCTGCAATGAGGATTATGGCTGCTTCCAATATCGAGCAAAGACTGCTGGTGCTTCTATTCTATGGTCTGGTCCTTTCCCCCATTGAATACGCTCTGGCCATCCTCACTGTCAGTGCTACCCAGATTGAACGACTCGAGAAGGTGCAAAATGAAGCCATGCGTATTATTTTGGGATGTACAAGAGACACATCCTGTGGAGCAATGAGGTATCTACTTGACTTTCCAACAATGAACCAAAGGATCAGGATGTGGAGGGCTCGGGCATACCTCAAAATATGTGCTGATAAGAAACACCCACTGCATCAAGCGCTTTTTAGTGAAAAGGGCGACAGACTGAAGAGGGGAAAATCGTGGCTAGGTCGGGCAGAAGATGTTATTAGGCAAATATGCAGCCTAACCGACATCATACCTGGTGCAGAATGGATACCTGTGCCTCAGGCGTTTATTTGTACATTTTCCTGTATTGTCACACTCAACAGGCGATGTAGAGAAGAGAATCCTGTTGCTGTTAATGCAGAGGTCAACGCTCTCATCGGTGAAAATTCAGACGAAGCAGATGCACTAATCTATACAGACGGATCAGTATACGCCAAAGAAGAAGCGCATGGGCATTTACAGCACGCTCAGCGGGCAGAACAGTCAAAGAAGCCAACGGCGCCTTCTCCATGACAACCAGCAGCATGACGATGGAGGTGATGGCAGTGACGCAAGCGTTTGCCTGGCTTGAAACACAAAAATACACCCGCATATGTATACTCAGTGATTCAATGAGTATGATCCGGAGGGTTCAGGCAGGTTCAGTGCGAAGACAATGGCTTGAATCAATTCAGAAGTCCACTGTGCGAGGAGTCACCTTTATTTTTGTTCCGGGACACGCAGGCGTCGATGGAAATGAAAGAGCTGACAAGTTGGCTGGATCCGCTATCACTACCGACGGTCGGCCTATGGATCATGCTGATATTATCAATGCCCTCAGAGAAATGGGAAGGATAGAGGACTTTGGTGGCAGTGAATCCACATCACTCGCCAGAATGGCAGACTTGGGAATTAAGATCGGCACAGCAAAAAACGAGACGCACACCGGACACGTCAGAAGACTTGTTAATCAACATAGAACTGGTACTATTAGCCATCGGACGTTGGGATTCATACTGAGGGGAGGATCTGAGCACCTATGGACATGTCCGGAGTGCAATGATGATAACCCAACTAACTAACTAACTAACTAACTAACTAACTAACTAACTAACTAACTAACTAGTACATCACTACTTTAATGGATTACTGACATGTTGGTGAGGGTTCATACTGACATGTTAGTGAGGGTTCATACTGACAGGAAATCAGTATTTTAATGGATTACTGACATACTGGTGAGGGTTCACACCGACAGTACATCAGTACTTCAAAGGATTTTTGACATGCTTATGAGGGTTCATACTGGTAGTAGATGAGTTTAGATGTGGTTTAACTTAGTTTCTTTGAAATATTTCCTACACAAATTTTTTTAATGGACAGAAATGACCTATTTTCCCCTTTAAAAAACCATGTAGTGTTGCACCAAGCAGAGTTCTAAAAATATTCAAAGGTTTTTTTGGACAATTAAAGAAAAGGAAAATAAATATTATAGGCAAAAGAAAACATGATTACCATGCACTTGTTCTGGAGAAATGCTCCAACAATACCTATGAATCCTGGAATGATGTACTGAAATAATGAAAACAGAAAAGTTAATTTCATGAAAAATGTTAACCTTGCTTTCTTCTCTGTCTGGCATGATGTTGACAGCATAACCATCAAGTCATCATCATCATCATAAACCACTTCTGCCGTAGGGAGGAATAATTTATGACCCAGTGCATGCTGGCTGCCACTGGTTATTGTGAAGGCACAGAGTGTTTTTAATGTTGTCGATCCATATTTTCCACAAGTGCCCTCTTGCTCTTGTAGCAGATCTTCTGAGATATAGTGCCTGTGATGGTATTTGTTGCATTCTAAGGAGATGGCCAAACCACTTGATCTGCTGTTTCTCTATGAATCTAGTACAAGGTGTTATTTCCACAATTTATCTGATAGTTTCATTATTCACTCAATTTCGGATGGTTAGGTTTAGCAGCTTTTCTCAGGCATCTCATCTCGCAAGTGGTCTATACAAAATATAAATTGCACATCATATGCCCAAAGTGCCACTTAAGTAAGGAAAGGACAATGGTAGACTGGACATATGTTGTTAGACTCATATGTTTACCCAACAGTGAGCAATCAGTGGATGATGTGGCCAACCTAATGCTGAGCATTTGTACTTCTCAGGACTTTACTCACATTAGCCTGGATCGAACTGGAAGAAATCATCATTTTTCTTTTTAAATGGACACTATATTCTACACAAAACCATTCTGAATGGCGTATGTTCCTCAGACATGGTGCAACGGCCTGCCAGGCAGTGGAGGTTGCACAGGCAGAGAAATGAAGGCAGACTAGAAAGAATCGTACTGCTAATCCCACACTTACTGCGGCTTCCATCTGTTGTCCGCACTGCTCAAGAACTTTCCTGGCTCATATTGGTCTAATCAGCCACCTTCGTACTCATAGTCACTGATCATTACTACTTCGGATAAAAGTGGTCTTCATCACTCATGTTGGATGAACAACAACATATTCTAACCTAGTACCTTCAGACTAGCATGCATGTGAGCCACTAAGTTACTCCAGCCCCCTTTACTTACTCACTTGTTGCTCTGCCCATCAAGAAACTATCATTTGCTATATTCTCTGTGTACCATGGAGGTTCCAGCAAATCATTGGGGGAGGGGGGGGGGGTTTAGACTCACTGCCCTCTAACCCCCTGTGTGGGTTCCAGGGCTCCATTGTGTGTGTGTGTGTGCGTGTGTGTAAAAAAAAGGGGGGGAAGGAACAAGAATAGACCCACTGCATGTCAAAAGAGTCGACTAATTAGGGAGCTTTCTTCAAAGTCGGGGTGCATGCCTATGAGGCAAGGAACTAGCAATCTGGATAGAAATGCTAGACGTGTAAAACAGATGTGCATGGAACTCAGGTTCTGGAAAAAGAAAGTCCAAAGGTGGACGAACAACCAGAATTTTGCACTGGAGTTACAGCCGGTGAATGTGAAGAGGAAGACTGTCCCCTAACAGGCATGTATTAAAAAGTAACTAATTAAAGGTTTTGTGAAATAGGATGTGTTGAGTTAAAAGGCACAGATCACAGCCTAGCTGTGAACCACAACACAACAAGGGAGAATCTCTTTCTTTTTCTTCTTCACTTTCACCAGCTATAAATTCTGAAAGTCCTGGTTGTTTGTCCACTTCTGGACTTTGGTCTTGTTCCTAAACTTGAGTTTTGTGTGCAAATCCATTTTACAGATCTGGTTTATTTGTATGCAGACTTTTTGTTTCTCACCTCTCCGGCAGATTAACTATGACTTCAAAGGAAACACCCTTAATTAGTTGAATTTTACAACATGCTTACTGAGGAAGGGGGGGGGTGGGGGGGGGGGGCACTGGGTCTGTTATTTGTGCCCTTAAAATGGAGCCCCAGAACCAAAAGAATGACTCCAATACATGATAGGCCTTCAAACAATTCATCTCAAGTCATTCTATTCTTTGCTGTCACATGCAGCTCCCCCTGTCCTCCCCATCTTGTTCCCTTCACTCGTTAGTTCCTCTGTGTGTTTTACAACCTGACGGCTTTGCCTTTGTGGATTACATTAGAATTGAAAATACATAAGTTGGTTTTAAAACTATACAATTTAGAGTTCCATATTCTGTTCAAGCTTTTATTATTATCGCATGTAATGGGATATCCTCAAGAGAAACTGGATTACTTTTTGCCTGGTTTAATTTTATTATCTTTTGTTTTTTTGTTGCAGATGTTTAGACCTAACAGTTGTGATGTATTAGCAGTCAAGAAAAGTGTATCATGGAAGTAGAACCTCATAATCCCATGTTGAGCTGCGTGGTACTGAGTGATGTAGCATAGAATCCTACATCAAACGGGTCCTGCTGATTCTGCAATATGTGGTTGCATTAGAACAAACTCCAGAACAAATCTTACAAAACAATGCCAGTCATTTAGAAAAGAAATCTGGCCCATAGGAATGATCCTACAAGACAAACTATGGAGCATCAATGAAGACTTCAAGTGTACCACTTTGTTATGACCAATGCTGGAATCCATAGCGACTGTTAAATGAATGGATCATCTTCTTCTTCTTCACATTCACCAGCTGTAAACTCTGATGGAAAAGTTGGATTCTTTGTCCCCTTCTGGACTTTGCTCTTATTTCAGAACTTAAGTTTTGCATGCACATCTGTTTTACAAATCTGGCTTATTTGTATGCAGACTGCTGGTTTCAAAACTTTCAAGAAGATGCACTCTGACAGCGAAAGAAACCTCTAATTAGTCAATTTTTAGGACATGCTTGATATCGAGGTGGGTCTACTCTTACCCCCTCCCCCATCCAGGGGAGCTGGAACACCCACATGTAGAAGAAAACATATCATATCTGCCTTACCACTAGGCTTAAAGGCCATAATCTCCCTCGAAACATATCAACAGAGATTTCCCAGGTGGCGTTAGTGTTGTTTAGTGTGTAACCATCGCCAAATGTCACTCCTGTCTGATCCAGCAACACTGCTAGTATGATACCTATGGACATAAATCATGTGTATTTTAAATACACATAGTTGCGAGCTGCGTTAGCGTAGTCGATAGGAGGCTTGCTTTCAAATCCAGCTGTGACTAGCTGCAGCCACGGTCGGTGTTCGAAACCGGGCGGTTCCCAGGGTTCACCCGGCCTCTAGGAAATGGGTACCAGGGTAAATAAATAATAATAAATTTTTTTTAAAAATTAAATTTAAAAAAAAAATTAAAAATTTGTGGTTTATAACCGTGTGAAATTATGCTGGTTCACATCTCCCGACTTTACCCTTTTTTTTAATACACATAGTATATACATATTGTATATAAGATTATCATCTTCTGTGAGGAATTAGAGATTGGTGGAAGATGCTGAAGCTGACCTTATTATGATATAAAGATGTGTGCAAGCGGGACATGACTGATATGGGTACTGAGTTAGATTCATGGGAACAAAATGCCTTGAACTGTGTTGTCTGGAGGGGGAAACTCAGGAAGGGACAAGTAAAAGTAAAGAACCCTTTTCCACGCATTTCAGGTGTACTAGGCATATATGGCTAGACTATATTTTACTTGGTGGGTGATGTGGTCAGCATCAAGCTGGTCGCCTTTACTTCCCAGGACTGCACCTGGTACCTACTCAAGGCTGGGTCAACCTGGAAGCAAAGGGTTTTTTTTTTTTTAAATTCCACACCTTGTCAGGAACTGAACCCATGACCCAGGCAAGCGTCTAGACCAAGGTGGCTCCCTCAGGAAGGGAGTGGGAATTAAAAACAAAAAAGGGACTGCAGAAAGATTGAGAAGAGGCACACTAAATACATGTGATAGCAATAACAGTCCTGCAATCTCATGCTCTAACTGGAAGATGGGAGGGTCCTGCTAGTCACACCTGCTTTCATCACAGGCTGGGAGTCCCATAGCTCTACACTGGACAGTATACTATCGTCTAGAAAAATGGAAAGGTGCCAACTTAAACTGAACAAGACTGATGTAAACAGAGTAAGGGAAAGGCAAAAAATAAATACCTGGATGGCTTAGCTGTATGGGGGGGGGGAGGGAGAGACAACAACACAGACCTGATTCATAATTCTGGTGATTGTGTGGAATGATGAAACATGACAGCCTATGCTTATTACTGTGGCACATGATGATGATTTATATATACCAATGGACATCTATTATATTGTAGATATTTTATAAATGATAAGCATACTTAAGGATACAAGTTAAACTATAATATGTGGTATATTTTACATATCTAAGTACATAAACCATACACACATCCTATTTTATATGCATACCTAATAATGCATGTTGTTATAGATATTTGTTATTTTCTGTATGCATATCAAAAGACATAAATTTTAAAAATCTGGTACACCCACTTCTTCTTCTTCTTCTTCTTCATCTTCTTCTTCTCCTTCTTTGAGTTCACCTGTTGTAACCTCCAGTGGTATGTACCAGTTGTTCTTCCAAGTCTGGACTGTATTCCTGTTTCAGAACTTGGATTTTAAGTGCACATCCTTTGTACAGATTTGGCTCATTTGTATGCAGACTGCTGGTTTCTTGCCTATCAGATGCACTTTGACTTCGAAGGAACAAAGATGCTAGCGTGCAAAGTTTGTTGCAACTACACTAACCATACGGCACTACATCCTCAGATTAAATTTGAGCAGTAAAGACTATTATGTTTTATCTATACCTAGCACAATAGCATAATGATCCTCTAGTCGAATGAAATACATAAAATCTTACAACGGACAATGATTGTCTGGGTAAGCTTTGCTGACCATTGAACTCTTTCTTCTTATTATTAGCATTCACCGGCTGTAAACTCTGTTGGAAAGTTCTGGTTGTTCATCCACTTCAGGACTATATTGAGGGATTTGAGTTCTGTGTGCCCATTATTATAGGGGCTTATTTAAATGCAGAATGTTGGTTTCATGTGTGCTGCCACCAAGAGGGAGTGCTCAGCACCTTTTGTAACCTTACAGGGAGATGGGATCAAGGGTCTTAAGCCCCATAGGGACGACATTAGTTTTTATATATAAGAGAGAAGAGGTGGATAGAAAGAGAGTGAGGAGGGATGTGTGTTCTACATGTACTGCAAACAGAATTATACTACTGATGTATATAATTCAGTATATCATTGAACCTTTGATGAGTTAACCTTTAATGGAATTTGAAAGCAAATTATAGTATTTATTTAAAAATAAACAGACTGTGTCTCCTAGGGTCTCCTATGCAAGGATTGCTAATATTTTTTTTTACATCATCATCGCCACCAATAAAGCTCTCCATGTACTCGCCCAGTACTTTTCACAAGCTGGCCAATTGTTAACCACCAAACGCCTACGCCAGTGTCTCCCAACACTAATCCCGCGACCCTTTAATACATTTCCTTATGTTGTGGCGACTTCAATGAATATGTGTTTTCCATGGTCTTAAGTGACCCATGTGAAAGGGTCGTTAGACCCCAAAAAAGGGTCGCGATTGGTAGGTTGAGAACTGCTGGTCTACGCGATCAGCGGCTGCCTAATCGTAGGGGTCCTGACACTGTTGCGCCAAATCCCTTCCTCGTCACCTTCAAATTTATTTCTCAACCTTCTCAAACTGCCTAGAGTAAACGACTGAATGTTGGACCCAAAACCACTTTCGAACCATAAACTGCTGCTATAATATGTTCTTACAATTGAAACCATCAAGAAAATTCGTTAATTAATAATTTAACATAATAACATTTTCATTTTATACATTGTGTATATACCACCCCCAGTCGAGCAGCACTGTCAAAATTTCTCAATCTTCTAAAATTACCTTAAATTAATTGTGACCCGAGACCATTTTTAACCGAATAACACCAGTCGTTTGATAAAAATCAAAATTCGCAAGAAAACCGCAAAACCCCGCCAAATTAACATAATTTTATGATTATTCATTCATTAGCGTATTGCCCCAAATACACATACACACACACACAAACCACTAAATGATTACTTACCCCCTATAGTAACCAAAGCCGAAGCAACGCCCAGCATCAAAATACGTTTTTTATCCATGCTTAAACTTTCAACTGCTGTAATTAACCTCCACAAGAGCGTGTATTAAAACACGAAAAGTGTGCTTGCCAACAACAGCACTTTAACCACTGGGATGACGAGTCGCTGCTGCAGCTGTTGCCTGGAAGCTCAATTTTGGAATTTGCTGCCTGCAAGCTTAATTTGGAATTTGCTGGCTGGAAAATGCACGCATGCGTATGAGCAAAGAACAAACACTTGTAAGAGGTTATAAACGCGCCAGGGCCTAAACGTGTCATCATATCATGTTACTTTGAGGGGGCTGGGGGTTCTATCTTGGGTTTATACATTTAACAACAAAAAGTATGAGATCGTGTTATTCTTAGAAGTAATGTTCTAGGAATTATACAGCTAACGCTTTCGCTTTAGTTTTAGCGATCGCGTTAATTAACTTCTAGTGTACTTGCCTGAAAGCACACATGTATTTTTAGATTTAGAATAAATCTCTATTTGATTAGGGTTGTCCACGGCCATCTTTAGCTATAAATCTAGAGTTGGCGGTGGGTTGTCCCAGTTTAGAGGCGTTGTCCTGGCGTATTGTTGGCATATTTTAAATTATGTCCTACTTTCATCAGTGAACAAATTTCAGGACAGGATGTTTGCTCATTGCAATGAAATACCCACAAGCAGGCTCTACCTCTCCCCCTCCCAGCCCCATTTTCAAATAATAAAGCTATATGGCTTTATTATTATTTTTTATTGAGCGTTTAAAGCTTTTGTTTAAGGGCATTCACTATTCAAACAGAATCCACCTATGGCGATAGGGCTGCAGTTCTCATTTCCATAAAAAGCCTGGACAGTATTATGGAACACAGCACCAGTGTTGCCACTTTTCTTTGACAAAAAAGATCCAAAACAGGGTAAAAAAATATCTAAAAAGATCTAAATTTGCGTGGAAAATATTTAAAAAATATATCTAAATTAAAAGAGTCACAAATTACAAAACTATTGAAATGACTTACCCTATAGACACATGTCCTTATCTTCACTGATGTCTGCTTCACAAGATCCACAGGATAAACTTAGCTTGGATGATGAAGTTGAAGCTTCAGATCCCAAATTACTCTGGTATGCTTTAGCTGTTCCTATTTCTTTTAATACACAATCAGGGAGCTGATAAGTGGAACAGCATTTTCCTACTCTCATCAGGCCAAACTTTATTGTCAAGATAGCATTTAAGAGGTCTAATTTCATCCTGTTTCTTAGGTTAGATTTGATGTAATTCATAGCACTGAAAACTCTTTCTACGTCAGCATTTGAGTGGGGTAGTATCATGGCAGACATGGCACATTCAAAGAGTTTACAGAATGGACTGTTTGATGAGGCATCTTTAAATTGTATCACTTCACTCCAAAACGCTTCAGTTTCTGTTTTGTTTGTCCATTCAACTAAGTTTATTTTGGTTAACTGATATTCTGCTCCCGCGACACTATTGTCAGTAGCCCCTAAAAATTTCATAACTTTACAATATTTAGGTATGTCCTTTACTGGCTGAAGTATGTTGCTCACAGAAAAGAGTGAAATATTTTTCAAAACATCTAGATTTTCAGGAAGTCTCTGCTTTAGTTGCTTGAACAATGAGATAAGGAAATCTTGACAGCGTTTTCTTAAGTTGTTCTCTTCATTCTCTGTTAACAGTCCTTTTGTTTTTAAATCATCAATTTTTGATTCAATTTGATATCCAAGGTATGGCTTAGGAGCCAAATAGCTCTCTATAGTGCAAGTGAGCAAATCAACTTTTGAAGTTGGCAACACCAGTCTTTTACCAACTGAGTAAAATAGCAAAGTGAGATCGTCAAGTAATTTAACTTTTATCAACATGTTTGGATTCGAACAGTTTATTAACTTTTTGCACTTCCATTAGAATAGGTTGTAAAAAGAGAAGGAATGCCAATTTTTTTTCATCACTGTACATTCCATATAGTATCTCAGCTGTGTAGCACTTTTCACTTTGTCTTGTTATTTCAAAGTGTGTCTTTAACTCCAACCATTGGTTCACAATTCTTTCAACAGCTGGTTGTATTGATAACCACCTGGTTTTGCAATCTGACAGAATTTTCAGTGGTGTGGAACCATTATTTTAGGCTGAATACAATGCATTGTATTGCTGTTGTCTGACAAATGATTTTGAAAACCAGTTATGTGTTTCAGCAATAAGGTATTCCAAATTCCTTGGTAAACATTCAGATGAAGCATGTGATAATGCTAGCTGCAATGAATGACACATACATTTTATAAGTATTAACGATGGGATAGCTTCCTTCAACTTGGCATAAACGCCATTGTTTATGCCAACCATCACTGAGGCATTATCGGTACCAATTGCAACCAAATTTGTCAAGTCTAACTGTTTGCTGATTAAAAGGTTCTTCAGTTCTTGAACTATACTTTCTGCATCACACTTTTCCAATTGAACTAGTCCAAGATATGTAGAAACTACTTTGTCTGTATTGTTGCTGTAATATATAATACACACACCAAGCACTTTCAGTACCGAAATATCATTGGATTCGTCTAATAATAAACTATATTTATTTGTAGAAATATCACTGATCAAATCTTTTTCGAAGTGAGAAAATAAAGTATTTCTTATAATATGTGTACACTTGCTGCGATGCATTTTCACATCATCCATAACTTTACTGTCAGAAATTGTGTTTTTAAACAAATCAATCAAATGGTCACAGTTTGAAATTGCACAATGGCAACTTAAAAACATTGCGACCGACCCTTCAACTTTTGATGATTCATTTATCAGTGTAGTTCTGAAAACAGATGTCAGCGGTGTATTATCTTTGAATGGAACTGCAGTTTTATGCTTGTTAGTCTCTGCATGCTTCTTTAAGTCTTGTATTTTCGCTTTAATTTCACACTTGCAGTACTTACAACGAGCCTTGGTTATATCCCCAGGAACTGCCATCACCCAGTCTTTAATTTTGTCATCATGCAAATACTCTTTCCGAAATTTTTGCTCATACTTTACTTTTGGCATGTTGAAAGGTTTTTTCAAAGTGAAAGCCACACAAGAAGGTGAGCAATTATTTTTTTAAAAATCACATGAAAAAGAAACACAGAGTCAGCATCACAGCTATACTTCACAACACAGTGAGGATACGGTTGAAACAAAGTTAGTATGATTTACGCGCGATTTCGATTAATCAGCACCGGGGTTGTCAGATATTTGAGTGTTGACCTTAGTGAGAGTTCAAAGTTTAAGTAATGGCAGTTGCCACAATGTACGTGCCAGACCAAAACAAAAATATTTTAGTAAATATTTTACTCAATAATTATTAAAATGACACTAAAAGAAAAAAAAATCTATAAAATATCTAACTCCATATGAAAAGAATCTAGAAAAATATTTAGTATCTAAACGTCAAAAACAGGATCTAAACGCAGTGAAAAAGATCTAAATTTGGATACAAAAGATCCAAAGTGGCAACACTGCACAGCACGCAACAGAAGCTGCCAGATCAGAAGAGCAGTGCTCTGTCCCAGGGCTGTCGAGATTTGTTGGGGAATAGTACCAAATATATATTGGGGGGGAGGGGGGGGGGGGTACTGAAACACTCCAAAATATACAGATCCGTTGAAACGTATAGACACACACAAACACACACACTCACCCAGACACTTATGTAGGCTATTCAACTGGCGGCCCACAGGCCAAATGAGGCCCGCGGAGGCCTAGGAAGTTCCCGCGGTGCACTGGCAGTTGTTTTGTATTTAAAAAAAATTATATGCTGGGATTCAAGCCTCTGACCAGTGAGCACCCCTCCCCCCCCCTCTCTCTCTCTCTCTCTCTCTCTCTCTCTCTCTCTCTCTCTCTCTCTCTCTCTCTCTCTCTCTCTCTCTGTTTAAAGTTGCGGCCCCTGATTGAACTGAGCTGAATAGTCTTGCACTAACACAAAGCGATGTTCATCTCCACCGGTTTTGAAATTGTAAACCAAAATGTTTATGGTGTTTTTCATCAACAAGTGGTTGATCTTGCACTGATAGTTCTCTCTAATCGTATATCTGGTCATCTCCTTGTGGGATGCCATTTTTCGCTATTTGAAGCCCCACCCTGGCTCTTGCCAGGGGCCGCAATATAGCCCGGCTATAAATATGGTCTAAAGGCTGAACGCGGTTTCTGGGACCTCTCCTCGGGTGATCCTCATCTACATGGTGACAATTTGTGTGATCGGGTGTTTATCGCTTGTGTGATGTCCTGGTGGGGTAATAGTAGATAGATATATTGATAGTTCTCTCTATTCTTTATTTTTTTGTTCATGGTTGCCTTTTTTGCATTCCATGTCCAATGACGTGTCGGCTCTGTGGCTAAGTCGATGCGAATGCTTCGTAATGCCGGTTTACCGGGCTTGATCCCAGCTGCGGGCCATGCGCCTTGCGTTGGTTTCGACAGTGGTATCAAGAAAGCCGACCGTCCAGGAAAAGCAATGGCAAACTACTGGACGTAAATTTGCCTAGAAAAACCACGCAACAGCCAGGGGCTGTTGGGGTTGGTTCTGCAACGGCCTGTAAAGGATACGTAACTAACCTCAGTCCACTGACGTAATTGGCGTCGATCTTCTTTTGGTGACACTTGTTGGATCCTGTGAATTTTTATAGAGACTATCTGTACCCGGCCACGCGTTGCTGTGGCATAGTTTGGCTAAATGGAAAAGAAAGAAAAAAGAAATCGCACGTGTCTAATATGGTTACTTTTGCAATCATTGTCTGCGCACATACAGTGATAGTCTTCGATGCCGCCCCATCCCCTTTCCAAATTCACCTACTACTCCCTCCTTCATCATAGGCTTTTGGAAAAGAAAGACAATAGAAATCGCACGTGTCTTTTATAGTTAATGTCGCTATCATTCTCTGCACAGATATAGAGATAGTCTAGTTTGCCACTTTAGAACACGCAACATATAATTGTGTCTTTATATTAGTGGTCGTTTAAATGGTATTATTAGCACAGTAAAGAAAAAAATGGTTAT